ATGTGGGCCCGGAGTGTGTTGGCGCTCTCCCGGGTGATGATGACGGGGGGCTTCGGCTTGTTCTTGGACCCCGGCGGCCGGCCTCGGGGGCGGCGGGCGACCAGCTCTCCCGAGCTCACGTTGTCGGCGTTGTCGCCGGAGAACTGGTGCTGCTGCTGCTGCTGCTGCTTCCGGCCGGAGTCCTCGTCGTCAGCCGCCGCCTCCGGCTGGTGACGCTGGAGGTGGAGCTGGTGGGAGATGAAGTTGGCCGAGCTCAGGTCCAAACCAGCCATCAAAACAATGATACTTAATTAATATTTGTAATTAACAACTAACCAAAAAAAAAGAAATTAGAAAAAAAAAAAATCGTTGAGAAACAGGAGAAAAATTATAAAAATATAACACTGATAATTATTATTATTTTTTTTTTCTCTGTAGTATAAAATAAACTTAAATCTTTTTTTATTGTTTTATATTTTATTTTAACACAATAGAAAATGAAATTCAAATGAGAGCAAGACGAGAATAGGAGAGAAGAAGCTAAAGGGGGAAATGAGTGGGGAAGAAAAGGAAAGTTTTTTAGGGGAAGAAAGTGTGGCTAGAGAGAGAAAATTGGAGAGAGAGAGAGAGAGGGGCACAAAAATCTTAAAGTAAGGGATAAAAAAAAAATTAAAACCTTAGAATAAAGTTTTGTAATGAGAGTAGTGAAGTCCATTATTATTATATCTCTAACTTTTGATTAAAATAATATTAATTGATGCTCACAACATATACATACATGTATAGAGACATACATATGAGAGAGGAAGAAAACAAGACTTTGTTTGTTGGTGGTGTTATTTTATTGCATTATATATACTCTATTTTTTGGCAAGCATTAATTATGCACGATTGGCATCAAAAATTAAATTATTGCTAGCTAGCTAGCTAAATTATTATTATTATTATTATTTTAGTACAAAAAAGGAAGCAAAGCCTAGGAATCTAAGTAGCCACCCATTGAGGGTGGGCCACACAGATCAAATCATGTATCAATCAAACTCCCGCCGCGGGCGGGGGACAATCCAAATGTTGATAGCCACTCGGACCTTTGGCTGCCATGGAGGCCAGATAATCCGTCATAAAGTTCGCATCTCGGTACCCATGTGAAATGGTCACATCCCATGATCGTCCCATCAGCTCCCGAATCCCAGCCACCAGGCTTCTCTGCGGCTCATCATAGCTTGCATCATGCATCATCGAACCATCTCAATCACACTCTTGTTATCCACTTCCACAAGAACCTTCTGATCGCCCACCGCCCAGGCCAAATTCAAACCATGGAGCTAGCTAAATTATTTATTTCATTTGCAAAACTTATATATATATATATATATAAATTATTAAAAAATAAAACATACAAATACATTTGATTTGTGGAAATTTAAAGGTCATGATATATTGATGATACTCAAATTAAAGGTCATCAATTTATGGCCAAGATGTAATTTAAAGGAATTTGAATTAACAAAACAAAGTAGGGTTGAATAAGCATAATAATGGGTGCAAATTGTTCGTGTGTGCAAGAAAAAGATATGTCATGAATAATAATAATAATAATTATGGGGCCTGGACAACATTATAATGTGACGTGTGATTAAGATTTCTCAGCAGCTTCTACCCCAACCACACACTATTGTTTTTTATATATATGAATGAATTTATATTCAAAATCAACCTAAGACTCTCTTAATTAATTAATTATACACAATTGTACACCACACAACAAAACCAATTTAAACACCAATAGTTGGTTCAATTTGACTTTATATATAGTTTATAAGCTGAAAATATAATTGAGGGATTAAATTATTGAAGTTTATTTCTGGATAATTTTTTAATATGTTTTCTTTTTAATTGATTAAATTATCAAGCAAATTTAAGCAAATTTTTGTTTAGCCTAATTAAATATTTGCATCTGCAGCTTTTAATTTTGGAGTTTTAACATCACAAAGTCTTTTAAATCTGATTTACAATCAAAAAGTCAAAATTCTAGCAACTTGTATCAATTACTCTTCAATTTAATATCATACATATGGAATGTTGTGTATTCATTTCAATTCAATTGACTAGTTTTAATTTCTCATGTAGATAGATTTTGCATGCAGATTAAATTTAATTCCCAAAATTAGCTACAAAATATATTATTTGGGTCAAACAAAATTAGGTCCTCATTGTTTTCTCTTTTAATAATTATAACAAAACTTCTTTTGATATAACACTTTAGATATATTAAAATACCATATAGTGCTAAAGGTATATTAATTCTCTTGCTATTTTTATCAACGTGGGATCACCCCAGACAACTCGAAACTTTTCATTAAAATAAAAAATTTAATATTTTTGCAACATTTATCTAAAAGTATTAATTTTTATATTTAGTTGAATATCAGCCCCAGATAACATGAAACTCAGATAATACCTCAATTTCACTATTTATCTAGAATTTTATTTATTATTTTATGTTACGTATTGATATTTGAATTGATTATTAGTCAAAGAACCTGAAATTGGAAAACCATGTGACCAACAAGTTGTACCAAATAGTTGTCAACTTGTCAAATTGTGACACTTATGTTACCTAATTTTCATCTTGTTGTCATTATGTGTGAAAACATTGATTTTTTCTTTTTTGTACAGGATCTTCCGGTTTTTGAATCCATAGGGAAACCGACTAATCCGAAATCGCGTCGGGTAGAACCACAAGGACAGCAAAGCTCTCCCTCAAGAGTTTTAACACTGCTGCTACTATATGTTTAATAATTCAACATATAAGCTCTTATTTTTATTTATTGTTTTATATGTATATAGACTTTTATTGTCAGCTTATCCACAGCAATAATAAATATCTACTTAAATGTATAGGGAACTCAAGTAGACATGACCTAGTGACTACTACTTTAGATAAATATATATATATGTATGTACAGCTAACTTTGCCAAAAGAAATTTATTAATGGTATGGGGCACACGTATGTTATAATATAATAGAAGGCGACCAATTTTTTTAAATTTAACAAAGTAATCAATTGAATTTCTCTCAATTTTTATGTTGTAACAAAGATTTAACAATTAATTGATGTTTTTTAATATACAGGGTTTAGAGCTATTTATATTTTTTAAACTCAACCACAAAAAAAAAAAAAAA